CAATGTATATACAAATATATATATATACAAATATATATAGGTTTATAGTTTATAGGTAATATAGCTTTAAACTCATATGGAATTATGTATATAAACATATATATATATATATATATATATATGCCTATATGTATATAGGTCATACGTAATATATATTTATACATATATATGAATCTATTTGACAAATATATACATAGATGTAGATGTATTAATATATATATATATATATATACATGTGTGTGAGTGTGTTTGTGTGTATGTATGTATATGAATATATGTATATATACACACATATATTTTAGATATATATATATATGATCGTATATATGTGTGTATATATGTATATATATATATGCATATATGTATATATATATTGATATATATATATTTGCATGTTCGGATATATATATGTATGCATGTATGTATATGTATATATGCATGTATATATGTATGTGTATATATATTCGTGACTTTATACACAGACATCTAGACATCCATATATAGATACATGTACATATATATATATACACGAAATCATATATATGTATGAATATATATATATATATATATATATGTATGTGTATATATATGTGAAGATGTATGAATATTTATATGTTCATACGTAATATATATAAATATATATAGATTTTGATATATATACATATAATGACGGTTACTGTGAAGGTGCACATGACAGTACGACAGCGTAAACATAGGGTGTAGAAATGCGTGCATGTATATATATACATATACATACATATATATATATGTGTGTGTGTGTGTGTTTATGTATATATATATGTGTGTGTGCGTGTATGTATATATATATATGTGTGTGTGTATGTATATATATATCTCTGTGTGTGTGTGAACTTATGTATATGTATTATATTCATATATATATGTGTGTACGTATATGTATGAATGTGTATATACAATACATCTGCATACATATGTATATTTATTTGCATAATATACGTATATATATATGTATATATATATTCATACAATATATATATATATATTAATATATTGATATATCAATGTATATATATAAGTTTATATTTTTGTATATGTATACACACATATATATATTCTTTTGTACATGTCTATATTTAGTATGTGCCTTAACACGTACCGTTACATCTGCCTGATATTTCACGCAGCTGGAGTGTTTACTACACCTCGGTTCTTGATGAGGGAATCCTAGTTATAGTACAATAGTCATCATTAAGTAGTTCATATCTCTATACTAATCTAAAGCTTACACAGCAGAGTTAAAATACGCCTCCTGTACAAAGCCATAGAGTTGCTTATCAGCACTGATTGAAATTACGTCCCAGCTAATCGTATCCTCGCATTGTCATCTCATCTCTCGCCTGTCTGAAGTGCTTTGATCTGGATAATGACGGTCGGATTGACTTTAAAGAAATGGCGCTGGGAATGCGACGCATAGATCTGGACATTCCCATGGATGATGCCACCCGGGTAGCCCTGGGTATGTCTGCATACAATTACAATCATTATTACGGTGTTGCATGCGCGAGTTAACTTAGAATATAATTATATATATATATATACGTGTATGCGCAATGTCGAACGAGAATTGAACGCGTTAGTTGGATTTATTGTATGCACGGAACAGTCTTATTTACGTTATCTTAGAGTGTGGCTGCAGAGACCAGGGTGCGCCGGGTAAACTCTGGCGTTGTTGTATGTGTGTTCTGTATATACACGGCCATCCCATCCCGCGTTTGCTTCGAGTGTGACGTCATTGTATGTTGATCGAAAAATTATTACCTCAGAACTCGTCTGTATCTATTTATAGCGTGGACACGGACATAGTTATGATATAGAATATATCACCTCAAAACACATAATAATGTTATACAACCCGCTGGCAACTGTTTAAACCGCGCTTGTTCGTTCATATACGCCGTTGTTCATCGTAGTTACTGCCATACTATGAGCATCATAAGTCGAGAAAAGCTTTCGCAAAGGCCACACGAGTATGAATATATCACCACCTGTATTATTATATAGGTGTAAGTGTAAAATGCCACAGATAAAAATGAGCCATCTCATATTCGTTCGTTTTCGCCGCTGTACACTGTAGGCGCTACGCTGCGATTCTATCAGGACCATACGCAGTCGTTGTCGAGGGACGAGTTTTTAACGTTCACACAGTTAGATGTTTACACATCTTTATATAGGCTTGCTTTATAGTTATACGATTAACATCCCGTATACACCGGTGAATCTGCTCTCATGAGTCCGCACTTTCCCCGTCTTATTCGCCATGGGTTTTTAACGTTCACACAGTTAGATGTTTACACATCTTTATATAGGCTTGCTTTATAGGTATACGTTTAACATCCCGTATACACCGGTGAATCTGCTCTCATGAGTCCACACTTTCCCCGTCTTATTCGCCATGGTTCACCGTAGGCGCTATGCTGCTGTACGATGAAGACCATACGCGTTCGTTGTCGAGGGATGAGTTCGCAAAGTTCTATTCGCATTTCTGTGATCTGTTGGGTCTCAACCCGCAGAGTGTGGCGTGGAAGGTGGAGGACGCATACAGGTGTGTGTGTGTACGTGCAGGAGTGTTCGCCTTGGTGCGCTTGCTCGAGAATTGCGCACACAGTGTTGTGTGTATGTATATATATATGTGCGTGTGTGTGTCCCTGTGTGCTGTGTATTGTTGTGTCTAGATGGGTGTGTCTGCCAGAATGCGTCACGCGTGCTTGTTGCCGGGGTTATATTAGTTTACATTTTAGGTCAGGTTTTTTAGTACCTTTTAAGTACATTTCGTGCTTGTTGCCGGGGTTAGATTAGTCTACATTTTAGGTCAGGTTTTTTAGTACCTTTTAAGTACATTTTGATTTTGGTACCTAATCGTACCATATGATGTCAATTTCTCCTCCTGTTATCGTAGAATGGAATTTGCTTGGTAGCGCACAGAATGACATACTCGTGGTGTCCAAATTATTACGTATAATGTCACGGATTTGGTTTATATATACATATAGATATACTTTACATTGTAACTACGCGGCATGTGAGGCCAGAAATAGTATTTTAACTTCAGTCAGTATCCAGGAGGTTCCACTATATACCGGTGAGCCTTGAAATGGTGATACGATTTCAATATTTATTGATATATATATATATATATATATATATTCTACTTGTGTTAGTTTGCGGTACTGTTATATATATGTATGTATGTATGTATATATGTCTGTATGTATGTATGTATGTATGTATATATATATATATATAGATATGTATGTATGTTTGTATGTATGTATACTATATTAAATTATTTTATGTATATATATATGTGTGTGTATGTATGTATGTATGTATATATATATATATAGGTATGTATGTATGTATGTATATATATATGTATTTATATATATATATATATATACATTTTAGCTGACATCAATTTCTATTGTATCTTCTAACAGTCGGAATAAGCCGACACGGGAAGACCGAGAAATAGTGGAGGAGGTCGAGAGGAAGCTCATGCCCAAGATAATTCAAACACCACAGGAAATCATCAAGCTAAGCCAACACCCTCCGTTACAGGCCTTATTCGACCAGTGGGACGAAGACAATGATGGTCTCCTGTCGTTGCAGGTACGTATGTTGTGCATTGCTTCTTTGTTTGTCTTGTCTGCGTGCAGGATAGATATGCCACCCACAACCCAACCAACACACACTTGCCGATACAACTGCAATACACAATACAACTACTGGCGTTGACTTGAGACACACACACCTTTTACACGTAGACACCTTGTGCTTATGACTCTAGGTATTTGTCACAGCAATGCACAATACAACTACTGGCACTGACTTGAGACACACACACCTTTTACACGTAGACACCTTGTGCTTATGACTCTAAAGGTATTTGTCGGGGCATCTACAATCTACAATCTCCCGGGATGTCGCCGTGACTATCTCTGTCCCATGGTTGGAGGGGATATAGACCTAGACATTCGACAATATACCCACACCTTATACTCACAATACACTCGCCTTATACTTACAATATACATACGTTATACCTATAGTCTTTTTGCTTGTGATACACGCACCTTATAATTAATATACACACCACTTGTACTTATAACACCCACACGTTATACTTACAATGCACTAAAAAAATGCATACACCTTGTACTTACAATACACACACCTTTTACTTAATATACACACCACTTGTACTTATAACACCCACACGTTATACTTACAATGCACTCGCTCTATTCTTATAATATACGCACGTTATACCTATAGTCCTTTTACTTGTGATGCACACACCTTGTACTTACAATACACACACCTTATACTTAATATACACATCACTTGTATTTATAACACCCACACCTTATACTTGCCGTTCATACACGTATTATCTACAACGCACACCGTGAACAGGAGCTTGCCATGGGTCTCTCCAAGTTCCAGCCTTCGCAGGACATCAGCAACATCATTGTACAGGCGGCTGCCGCGCTGATGGAGTACGACATGAGCAAAACGAAGAGTCTGGACCGCTTAGAGTTCACCGGGCTAGTGATAAACCTAGCCCAAACAGCCCGAGCGCCCATAGACGGGATAGTGGACTTCCTATTACTGCAGACAAGTATCAAGAAGAACGATTCCCTGGACGCTGACGCTGCGGCTGATGTAAGTACGAATGTGTAGGAGGGGGTATATTGTGTGATAGGTGGCACACATTTATTTACCTGACCCGCACCGGAGAATGCAGTAGTCACGTGTTCGTCGGTGCACACCTGATTGTTAGTTCGTCAATATACGTATGCGTACGGATTATGTACTTCTGTTGTCGGATGCGGAGGTGAACACATGCCGTATCGAGGACATCCGGCACTTGCGCAGTTGCTTGAAATGGTCTGCGCTCGCTTGTCCTTGGTGTCACTTGACGCATGAAGTGTTCTGTATTATATACTCTGCCCCTCTGTGCATATGCTCCTTTCTCTTGTCCTTGGTGTCACTTGACGCATGAAGTGTTCTGTATTATATACTCTGTCCCTCTGTGCACATGCTCTTTTCTCCCTTATGCCCATCGCTTGTGGCTTGTCCCCTTTCCTCTTGTGTTGGTCAAAGTTGTTCTGGAGTGTTTGGTATCCCACACTCATGCCAATTTCCCGTGCACAAACAGATTGAAGATGCGATGCAAACAGATGTGAAAAACAGGCGAGACTCGTTGACCCGATGAGTTTGGGAGGATTTCCCATCAGATAGTCTAGTCAAAAACCATATCAAAAAGAATCAGACCTAGCATATATAAACCTGAGAACATCAGGGTTGCACAATAAAGGGATGATGTCAGTGAAGCTGCTGTAGTATAGATAGGCCCTTATCTTTAATAGCTCCTGAATTTGTGTGGGATGCTGCCTGTCTCTACCAGGGATTGCACACCTGTGAGGGTTTGGAAGGCATACGGTACACTCTTATCATGAAGTTCGGGACTCAACTCCCAATCACTTTCGCATCCGCTAGTCCTGGAGAGAGACCGGCGAGCTCACGGTTGGTTGGAGCCAATTACACCATTGTTTTAAAAACATCAAACAGGTCAAAAACCATAAGCTGGTATACTATACAAAACTAATTTTTATTTTAAATTGACACGTATGATGACGCTGGGCGTCGTTTGATTTCTGTATCTGTACTTAAAGAGACCCTATCGATCAAATGTGTGGCATTTTAGCAGGAATTCTTCTGGTTGTTCCCGTTTGCTTTCGCGCCGTACTCAGTATCGAAGATATGCTTGGACTATATACTAATATTTTCCATATAAGTTCTCTCTTTAGTAATACTTGTGGCGTAACCGCAAACATCGGTGTTGCGATCGAAGAAATCATCAGTCGTAATTACACTATCTGCTTAAAAACGGCTATATTATACCCCCCTGCTGAATACCAAGTAATTACTAGTATATATCGATTACTAGTTAGCCTCTCTGCTTCTCTCTTTACTTTAAATGCCTATTGAATAGCAAGTAATCACTAGTGTATATAAAATACTAAACAGCCTCACTGATTCTCTCGTTACTTTATATTGCCTACTGAATACTAAGTATTTACTAGTATATTTAGAATACTAGATAGCTTCTCTGATTCTATCTTTACTTTATAATGCCTACTGAATACTAAGTATTTACTAGTATATTCAGAATACTAAATAGCTTCTCTGATTCTCTCTTTACTTTATATTGCCTACTGAATACTAAGTATATGTTAGTATATTTAGAATACTAAATAGCTTCTCTGATTCTCTCTTTACTTCATAATGCCTACTGTATACTAGGTATTTACTCGTACATTTAGAATACTAAATAGCTTCTCTGACTCTCTCTTTACATTATAG